TGATGATTTAGTATACGGATATTATGTGTTCTAGTATGAAATAATAATTGGTGTTAGCTTTAAATAGATATTTTTAATGCATAATCTCAGAAATTATCATTTCCACAGATTGATATTTGGTTGAATTCTGCATTAATCTCTCTGTAAGTTAAGTGTGGTATCATGTGTACTTGGCATGTTTTTTATTGCTGTCATCTTTATCAAATTGTGTCCTGGGCAGAGGTCATTTTCTATTTGTTCTGACAGTCAGTTAATGTAATCATAGAAGATACTTGAACAAAGCAGAGTGGATCCCCTGATATTATGATTGAATTTTTCATTGCAGGCACCAGTTTAGGATGAACTTAAATGAGTTAATGCCTCGGAGGGTGCCTTCAGTAGGTAATGGGAGAAGTTTGGACAGGGAGCTGTCGCCCAAATCCACGAAAGTAGACCCAAAGAAAACCTCCAGGGAATGGTCCCCCACTCTCACAAGACAAGACTTGGACAATGCAAAAGAAAGGCCGCCTAAACCTGGTAAACTTGACATTGAAAATTCAAATTCCCCTGCAAGGAGAGAGGGTTCTGCAGCACACAGTTGTCAAAGTCTTACCCCTGGACCAGGGGCTTCATGCACGGCCTTGAAACATGCTGTAGCATCCTTGAATAGGCTAGATGACTTCTACTGTGAGAACTTGGGCAGTGGGTTCTTCTCTGAGGTCTATAAGGTAAGGATGCGTGCAGTAAATTAGCTCAAAGCAATATGCAAAGAAAAATTCAAGTATGAGAGGACTAAGCTAGGTTTACTCCAGCATTGTGGGTTTTATCCAAATGCTAAATATATTTTAATTTGTTTAAGGCAAATGTCAAACAATTTACCGTTATAAGTCAAATTTGTTTTAGAAATAGTTAAGAATTTGGGCTAAAATGCTGAACATATATATTCCTTTCATGATCCGGTTTCATTCTGTACCATATCTTGTATAATATTGACTGGTTTTTGTTAGATTAGAATTCTTGGTACAGCATTATATTATTTGGAGATATTTTTTAAGTGGTGTCTTTATGTTCATCATCATTTCAGACATTCAAAATATTTTAGACTAGGTGAACTAGTTTCATTTTAGATGGCAGTTATTGTGTAAACAACCTTGGAATAGCAAAACAGTGGAGATCAGTTGATGCTGTATTGTTAGGATAAACATATTTTTTGCATGGGTCATTTAATATCATTGCAGAGCAGTTTTGATAAAAGAAAAGCATGCATATCATTTTTGAAGTTATAAAAATGGGGATGATATCAAAAATTCATTTATGTTCTCTTTGTGGAGAAAAAATAATACATTAGACTTGCTTGAGAATATGCAAATGAAGATTTTTTTCTTTTCTTTCTTTCTTTTCTTCTTTTTTCATTTTTATTTATTTATTTATTTTGCTATGTAAAAAGTTTCTGTAGATTAATATAGTGTTAAAAACATAAAAGGATTTTAAGCACTTTTAATACTTGATCCCTTGAAACTATATCAAGAGTACACTTGTCAAGATTTCATTTTGATATACTGTTCTGTAGTCTAAGTATTGAGGGACTTTTTAAACCCCCTCCTGCCATCTTATCTGGTAATTGATTTCATAATTTCTCCTAGCAGACCAGACAGGGTAAAATAATCTCCTATGAGGCAACATAATATTGTATGTGATTTTGTGTTACACTGATAATACTAGGGCCTGGTCTCAATTTATTCAGTTAACTGGGTTTACCAGTGCCCGTGTTTGTCGCAACTCATCAAGTGAAATCACACCTGAAGACCAGTAGCTTTGGAGGCGAAATCATCACCACAAGCAGTAAATTACAGATGTCTTAAATAATCAAAGAATTGAGTTAAGTGGCCTAGCAGCTCTGTAGTTTGTTCACCAGACCTCACTCATTGGTAAGGCCCAGCTCCTTTTCAGCTTCTCAATGATTTTCTGAAAATGCAACATGATACTCGTAGTCCAATTCTTTCCACAACAGAGTTGCACAACACAGGGGATTTCTTCATCCATGGGCTATCACTATCAGCAATTATTTTTATGGGGTAATTACTATCAATTACTACCAAGTATCTCATTTCAACCTGTAAGTAGAGATGTTTGAGACATACCAAGATGTGGAACTGATAGGGCAGTCTTCCATATTCTAAACAGGTTCACTAATGTACAGGTACAAGTATTGCTTGTGGGTGGGTTTTTATCATCCTTGAAGTGATGTCCCCAAACCAGTAATTTTGGTAAATGCCAGTCGTGATCTGAGCTGAGTGAAATCAAATGTTAATTCTGATAAGCTGGTCCCTCTTTCTCCAAAGAACTTGGTCAAAATTTGAAATCTTGATCAGTGGTAAAGCTGCATTAGTCCAATAAGGCTTCGTTCACATGCAATGTCTATTTTCTAAATTCTATTTTCTATTCGCGCTATCTTATGATCACGGTCTGTGCACTGAATATCCCGCCGCGTAATTACTGGCAGCGCGAGCCAGTTACTTATAGTAACTTATAGTAACTGGCTCGCGCTGCCAGTAATTACGCCGCGGGATATTCAGGGCACAGATCGTGATCATAAGACATACCGCAAATAGAAAATAGAATTTAGAAAATAGACATTGCATGTGAATGAAGCCTAAGATATAGTAGCAATTGTCTCTTAAGGTTGGCCCGTTTTTAGGCCCCATTCCCGCAGACATCGTTGGTCTTCGTAGATCGACCTAGCTCTGCAGGGATTCTAGACCTATGGTATCTATGGGAATGAGGCCTTAGTGATTCCGAAACAGGCCCAACATTTAACTGGACTTCTGCAAATTGAACATGGGTTAAAGTAGACCAAAATGTTTTGCCATAAAGTTAAAAAAAAACTTTCACTTAAGATTTTTGGATTAAGACATTCTTTTCCTACTTGACAGTGCAGGTAGCATGGAGGGTGCGTTCTTGAAGGTGCATGAGAAAATGAGTCCATGTGTAAACAAAAAGACATGATGAAATTGGTTCTAGTGCAACAAAGACTGTTGTCGTAACTTTAAAAAAAAGCACATTTTTTAGGATCGTCATTATTAGATGAGTCATTTACTGTCTCATACGCTGCACAGCTGGTGTCTGTGACTGAAGCGCTCCACCAACAGCCAGATACACAGATGTTGGCTTCATAGATATGCTGGCAGATTTGCTACTATACCCACAGGATACAAGAATCTTATCAAATTATACCCACAAAATAGTTATTAATCATAATTCAGACATCATAAAGCTAATAACAAACTGTCATTTAAGCTAAATGGATGTTGGCAATGGTAGTAATTACTGTTGGAATTAGGTAATGTAATTGAATTTTGTAGCTTTGACAGTTACATATCTCCTGCTGAATCAAACCAAGGGCAAATTGCAGAAGCAAGACAATAGCCTTCAGTTGTAGTGAGTGTATTTCCTAGTCCTACCACCAACTGCCATCCCCTAAATACAGCACACTGTTCTTATTAGCTGAAAACAAATGTAATGTTTTGCCATAAAGGAAGTCTTGAAGAAGACCATATATTTATAGACCAAAGGCGTATTTACATAGAAGATATGGTGGCCGTACTCTGCACAACCATTCTCTTAACTTTATGCAGACTGATTAAACTAAGATCATCATCCTGCCTCTCTATTACCCCATTCACACTACAGTTGCAAGAATGCGCATTTCTGTAATCCGAATTTTTCGTGAGGAATTCGATTCGGTATTGCGTTCACACACGCTAACGAAACCGAATCACACGTTGAAAATTTCAGGTTTAACTTCCTGTTTTAAACACTCGCGCATGCGCCGCACAGGAAATCTTAAAATACCAACAAAAATTTGTGACGACAAATGCAACTCAAAAGACATTCCAGCATTCTTGAGAAGTATAAGATGGCAAAATAAGTTTGTTTCCTCATG